TATAAAAATGAATCTATTTTCTCGTTCTTTATGGCTTGAAAACAGCCTATTTGCCCATCCGTTGGAAACTGGATAAAGAAGATGTGGTTTTTCTATAAAATGGAATAAAGAGTTTATTTATTATCCCTGTTTCTCTAAAGAGTTTTTTCGCCTCACTCATTGTTTTTCCTTTCATCTAACTTAGCATTTTGTAATGATATGTCTTCAACTTCTCTCTTAATTCTGCCTTGTTCGGGTTTCCTATTGAATTTTTCAGTTCATACAGTGTTTTCATCTAATGGAATTTTTACATTTTCTGTCTGCATGAATGTAATTTTATCATTTTCCTTGATTATCTTTGTTTTCTCTCCGTGTTTACCATAGCTCTTTGAGAACAGCTGACATTTAAAGTTTTTGTCAAGTAGTTACATTTTCCAGAGATTTATTTTTTCTTGTTGTTTTTTAATAGACCGTCCTTTCCTATTTGTTGTCATATTTTGTTGAAAATTGGGCCTCTGAGGAAACTTACGAGTCCTTGTGGAATGGCCCCAATGCAGAGGAATACCTTCCTTTAATCAGCCCAGAATGAATTTTAGGCAGCCTCTGACTGGCATTTGTCTCCTTCAGGCTTTATGTGTAGTTTTTATTTCCATGGTCTCTGTTTGCATGGCTGCTTTTTAAATCTGTAATTTTTCTTGTCTATCACCTCTGATTGTACTTGATGCCTTATCTTTTACTCTTTTCATTCAGTAATTTGTAGTCTACAGATCTGTAGTTTCCTCGTTGTTTTTGTGAATTAATCTTCTTTTAGCCTAAATTTCAAGGCAGTTTTGTCCACCTGAGCAGTATGAACGCCATTGTCTCAGGTAACCCTCATGTGAGAAAAAGTGTAAAGTCAGGCCCTTTTTCTCTCTTCATGTCAGTCAGGTATGGGAACGTACAAGTTAGATCCCTACTTTCCCCAAGCTATCTTTGCTAGGAGAATAGACAAGAATAAGGAAAAACACCACAAAATGGCCCTCAGATTTAACAGAAGTTTTAAACTTTGGATTTCCATCACACCAAGCCTGTCAGTATTCAAGAATAATCCCAGCACTTTTGGAGGCTTAGGCAGAGAATTGCAATTTTTAGCCCAGTCTGGTCAACAAAGACTCTGCTACAAAAGAAAAGAAAAGAAAAGAAAAGAAGAGAAGAGAAGAGTAGGGGAGGGGAGGGGAGGGGAGGGGGGAGGAGAAGAAAAACAAAAACTCGCTTGGGGATTAAGCTCAGTAGCACTGAGCTTGCCTCACAAGTGCAGTGTCCTGAGTTCATCCCCAATACAAGAAAAAAAAAATCATTTTAAAAGGTCTGGGGTTGAAATTCAGAGTGAGGACCCTGAATTTGCTGTCCTCTACCACTAAAAAAAGAACTTGTCTTTTCCATTTTTTGAGGAGTTTTGGGTGTATTATAGAAATTAATTCTGTCTAAGATGGGTGGCAAAGTAGTCTCTGTTGCCTCCCCTCTACTATTATTTATCATCCCCCAGAGTTCGGCTCTCAGGTAAACAATATTTGAAAACATCTTTGTAATCTTACTTAATTCTTGACTCATTCATTCATTCATTTTTTGAGTTAATCTTTTAATTCACTTTACATGCACGCATAGAAAGAAACATACATGGTTACATTACCTATACCTAACTTGTATTTATAGGTAAGTGAGTCATGAACAAATACTAGTCTCTTGCCTCTGAGCTACTTGGTAATTATTGTCTGTGTTTCTGACTGAAAGAATACAGAGAACATGGCCAGGGTGAGTGGTTCTACCGCCTGCTTTGAAGCACAAGGACCCGAGTTCGATCCCTGGTACCAAAAAAAAAAAAAAAAAAAAAATTACATAGAGCAAAGCACAAGGTTTAGGTTTTGTGTAAGTGTGTATAAGGCCATCTTATCCGATTACTTTGAATGTTTTGTAAAGATATAATTGCATTGATTTATTGAATTGTCTTAATTTTGGTCTTTGTAAGCAAATACATTTCACATAGTACTTTTTTCTTAAGAGAATTAATTCTTATTATTAACTTTGTTACAGGGTTGGCTGGTGGATCTCATTAATAGATTTGGCATATTAAATGGCTTCCAGATTTTTCATGATCGTTTTATTAATGGGTCAGGATTAAACATTCAAATAATTGCAGCTCTTATTAAGTAAGTTGTATTTTGAAACATTTTCAGTGCACTGTACAAATTGCTCCTGTTTCTTTAAAATTATTTTCAGTTTCTTATGAGTTTTTTTTTTGTTTTTTTTGCATAACTTGACGTTTTAAATGTTGAAACTAATTTGTGAATTTAGGTGTGATGTGATAAAAACTCCCAGAAATTTTCTGTCTTTTTTTCAGACCATTTGGCCAATGCTATGAGTTTCTCACTCAACATACATTGAAAAAATATTTCATTCCAGTGATAGAAATTGTTCCCCAGTTATTAGAAAAGTTAAGTGATGAAGAATTTAAAAAAGAAGCAAAGAATGAAGCCAAAAATGATGCCCTTTCAGAGATTATTACTTCTCTGAAGAATTTAGCTTCAAGGATTTCAGGACGAGAAGAAACTAAAAAAACTTTAGAAATGTTTAGATTACAAATGATACTCAGGTAAGATACTTTCTGCTTTAAATTATTCATGTGAATTCTTACAATGATATTTAATACAAATTTCTCTTACAGATTATTACAGATTTCTTCCTTTAATGGGAAGATGAATGCATTGAATGAAATAAATAAGGTAATATCTAGTATATCTTATACTCACCAGCATGGTAACTGTGAAGAAGAAGAGTGGCTGACAGCTGAACAAATGACAGTAAGATACTTTTGTGAATTTCTTTCATTTTCTTTCTTTCTCCCCCCCCCCATTCATTTTATTGGTACATTTTCGGTATACAGTACAGTTACATTCATTATTGGGATCTTGTACCTTTACATGACAGGTCTTGGTTCTCATTTTTTCCCCTTGTCCCTGCCTGTGAATTCCTGTATGGCTAAGAAATTTACAGGTAATGCAAATAAAGAACAAGACAGGAGAGATAAATGGGAAATAGAAATTCAAATAGTCCCTAAACTACAGATTCCGTTGTTTAAAAAATACACACACACACACAAACACTAATTGGTTTTTGTTACCAGCTTATCTTAGTTCATTCAGAAGAAGTTTTATTTTTTGTAAGAATCTTTTTATGTCTTGTATTCTGAGTAACTTCTTTTAAGACAGTAATACACGGTGGAATAACTTAGTATTCTCTGACTATGAAATTTTATGTTTTCATAAAATAAAAAAGGCAGATAGAATCTTACAGAAAACTACTTGCTAATTACTGCTAGAACCATCAAAAGCAAAAAGTGATTTTTTTTTTTAAGCTTATGACACTAAAACTTCATTATCGTGACTAATAATTTACTTGTTGTAAGTGTTGAGGGTAATGTTTGATAAGCTTTAACTGCTTGGTAGATGTCTTTGTAAAGCTTTTTATAATTCAGTGGTTTGTTTAAACTGAAGCAGAAGTGACTTTTTAAAAAGGCTTAGATAATAGATCTGGAATTGATCTGGTGATGACTGTTTAGAGAGCTCAAGTTGAGATTATAAAATCTGTAAGGATCAGGTTTTATCATGATTTTAAACAAAACGATTTTTTTTCCTGTATTGAGGATTGAACCCAGGTGCACTTCCAACAGTAACTGTATTTTCAACAGATAGTTTGAGAGGTATATTGATGCAGCATATATAGTAGTATTTCTCTGTATGGAGAATGTAATTCTATAAAATTACTAATTGCACATCAGTGTGCTACAGTTTGTGAATTTACAAGAGAATATTTTGTATGCAAAATTGAATTCCATGGGATTATTTATTGCATCATTTAATTTGCATTAAAATATTGAACCATACATTAATAGCTTTTCATTATGCGAACATGTATATTGTTTAGGCTTTTGAGTTTTCATTTATATTATTTAGAAAATTGAACTTTGTGTTTATTTTGCCTTTTTTTAATGGGTTTTCAGCCAGGGATTTAGCTCAATGGTGCCAGTGTGTGTTTCACAAGCACAAGGTCCCGAGTTCAATTACCCATTACCCAAAAAAAAAAAAAAAAGGCTTTTTAGTTTCTGTATTGAAATGCATATTTTTCTCCCTTAGGAATGGATACAGCAAAAGAGTATATTATCTATAGTCTTAAAAGATAGTCTTCATCAACCACAGTATGTGGAAAAGCTAGAGAAGATTCTTCAATTTGTGATTAAAGAAGAAGCTCTTACATTACAGGATCTTGATAATATCTGGGCAGCACAGGTAAAGAATTTCTTTATACAAGAAATACTCTTAAATATTAGAGAACCAGGGAACTGTAATGACATGCAAGTTTATATTGATCGAATTTTAGAAATTCACTTGCTATATATGTATCACATCCTGCCAATAATTTTATTTTTAGAATTCCCCATCTTTATAGATACAAACATTTATAGGTTGTTTAGAGAAGAGCCAATAGTAAAATAATTATTAAAGGAACTTCTGTTTGAAGGAGTATAAAAAAATCTATAATTGCTAGAGTTTTACTATGAAATATATGAAGAAACATGTCTGAGGATTCACAGTGTACTATATTAGTTTTTAAAATATGCTTGTAGCACATTGTGACTTTTCATAAGGTCATTGATTTTAGAAAAATAATACATCATTTATTTTATTATCTTAATGACTGATTTCTACTCACAGATCACTTGCAAAATATTAAGCACTAGATTACAAATGTGCGTGTGAATGTGTGTGTTATTAGGAATTGACATGGGAGGGCCTTTACTATGGGGTGTATCTAAATCTCTCTTTGTTTTTTTTCCTCAACCAGTCTACTTAACTTGTCTAGATAGGACTTGAACTTTGTTTTCTTTTGTTTTGTTTTGTTTTGTTTTTTGAGACAGGGTCTCACTATGTAGTTGAGACTGACCTGGAACTCACTGTGTCGCCCAGGATGGTCTTGAACTCACAGTGATCCTCCTGCCTCAGCCTCCCAAGTGCTGGCATTACAGGCGTGTGCCACCACGCCCAGCAGGACTTGAACTTTTAATCCTCTTGCCTCAGTCTTTCAGAATGCTGGTAATACAGTTGTGTGCCCCACAACAAGCACAAAAGATATTTTTAGAAATTCAAACCAAACAAAATAGTGAATCTTGGGCTGGGGATTTAACTCAGTGGTTCCACCGGCTTGCATTGCAAGCACAAGAACCTGAGTTTGATCCCCAGTACCAAAAAAAAAAAAAAGGAAATTATTACTCTTTATTGGATCCTTAAGTTTTTAGTATTTGAAACAACACACTATTCTAAATTGTTTTTACTTTAGCATAGTTATTATGGTAAAATCCTATCAGTTTTTATATGCATTTCTCAAATCCCTTAAATATATATATGCCCAAAAATTATATTGCTGAGTTTTAAGTAATATTTGAAGTATTGTGAATTTTGTTTTAACTTCATATGAAGATAATAGAAATGTTTAATATTAAAGTGGTTTTTACTTGGTTGTTTTAAAATTGTATTTCCTCCAACAGGCAGGGAAACATGAAGCCATTGTGAAAAATGTACATGGCCTACTAGCAAAGTTGGCGTGGAATTTTTCTCCTGAGCAACTTGATCATCTCTTTGATTGCTTTAAGGTAATTGTTCAAATAATGAAATATGACACTTCCCTATAAGTGAAAATCTTAAATAGGTCTGTTTTGCTTTTAGCCAGCCGCACATACTGATACATACTGGAGAATATTTGGTATAGAAAACAGTCATTATTGTTTTTGCAGATCAGATCTTAAAAATATAGTTTGTGTCATAATGAATTATGACAGAAGATTCTTTCAACAGTTTTGACAAGTTAATTCTTCTGGCCACTGTCCCTTTTTATACATGTTAAATAATAGAATGAAATAATGAGAAAAAAGACTTTAAAAGGTATTACGGTTCTCTGGAAGAATATCAAAGATGAAGAGAGTTAGTCATTTGTAGTGTGCACATAATCCTGTCTTCAGTTACATGGTACATATATAATTAGTATTGTACAAATATTTGATTTCTGGGTAACCCTGTGACTCTTAAAGAAGTTATTTGTAACCCTTGCTCAGTGTTTATTTTTGCAGATTCTTGCTTGTTGGCAATTAAACGAATCTGAAATTTATTTTCCTACTCTGTAATTGAATGGTTTTTGCATTTTGGGTGCTATTCTTATTTTCCTTTTCATGAATGTTTGCTTCTTAACATAAACATACACCCTCCACCTTCCCGTTCTTCAGATTCAGTTTGGGAGTTTGCACATGCTAGATACTGCACAGAGGTATACTTCCAATCCTTCTCATTACATTAGTTGTTTCTCAGCCTTTTGAAACCAATCATGAGCTTTCATTAAGCCTTTTACCTGTTTTGCATAGATGGTTTTAAATTTTGATAAACTTTTTTTCTTTCTATCTGTGTGATTTTCTTCTCATGTTTGGGATATCATTTGTCTAGTCCAGGCTTTCAAAGATTTTTTTTTTTCCTGTGTAATATATTTATCAGAATTGTTTTAATTGTTCTATTTAGATCTGTATCCTGTTTGAGGTAATTACTTACTATATGAAGACAGGCTTCCAGATACATTGCTTTTCATGTGTGGATATACTTGGAGTGTTTCAGGTTCTCTGATCATTCCAAATTGTCTATATTTTTATATGCTGAAAGACTAGGTTTTAACCAAGATGGATGGCAAATGTATGTTCCTGAAACATGTTTGCTTAAGTGAAGCCTGACTTTGCTGGCAAATTAATTACACAAACCTCCCAAGTTGCAATAGTGTTGGTTGAACTTGACTTTATGAAGTTCTTCATGAATTCTAGATGATAGTTATTTGTGAGTTAAATGGTTTAAAATACTTTTCTGTCATGCTGAGCACGGTGGCACATGCCTGTAATCCCAGCACTCAGGATGCTGAGGCAGGAGGATCGCTGTGAGTTCGAGACCAGCCTGGGATACACAGTGAGTTCCAGGGCAGTCTGAACCACATAGTGAGAGAAACCCTGTCTCAAAAAAACCAAAAAAAACACAAAACAAACTTTCTGTCACTCAGTAGATTCTTTTATTAATCTTTTTATCGGAAACTTTTACTACTTGTTTATGTTAAGTTATGTAGGGCTTTTTTGTTTTATTTTTGGGTTTTTTAGAAATAGATCTCCTTATGTGTATTGAACTCACTGTTAGGCCAGTATGGCCTTGAACATCTCAGTCCTCCACACCTGGTCCTAGATTTTTTAATTTTGATGAATGCTGTGTTTGCTGACTTGTTTCCTTTCCGTAGATCCCAGTGTGTTTTTTCTACAATTAGATGTGATTTAGGGCTTGTGGAAGGAGAGATGCTGGAGACTGAATTCAGTGAAAGCCTTTGCATTGTTCTCCTTTATGAGGGATGAAGATGAATGGAATGAGATAGTGTCTGATGAGACTGTCTCAGCCCTTCCTGCTGGGATTATGTGTACCACCATACCCAGCTACATCTGATCCATTTAATTAGGGCCGGAGGTGTTTTGTTTCCTGTAACTCCAACTCACTTCCATTACTTATTGTGGTGAGAGAATATCATTCCATACATGCTGAATACATTAGTGTTTTACACCATTAAAAATCAGAATGTAAAGTCAGGAAATGAATTGGTCACTAAATGAGGAATTGTATATGGTACATACATCACAATATGCAGAACAAATAAATGCTCAAAAGAAACTCCAACTTCATGTCTTTGCATTTACTGAACTATGCTGCAGAGTAGAAGCAGCAAAAACTACAGTACTGTAAAAACAAGGGATACAAAAAAGACATTGCGGCTCTATAAACAAGATATACAAATGTACAGAACAATAAAAAAGACAGGTTTTAAGTCCAGGTAATGGATCACAAGTATGAATAGTTAACCTAGTAGACCATTAAATGAAGACTATATGTAAAGTTTAAAGTTGTTGATGCAGATCTCTTTCAGGAATTTGGATTAAGAGTGTCTTGTGAATACTAGTCTTCTCAAATTGAATTTAGCAATTAGAAAATTTAAGGGCTGGGCATTTAGCTTAGTGGTGTCTCCCCTTTGTAGCAAGCATAAGGACTTAAGTTTGATTCCCAGTGGAGCCTGAGGAGAGGTTAGTATTCACTTAAGTTGTTGGATTTGTGTAAATGTGAGACATGCTTTGGATGTTAGTTTGTACAAAGATGTGATTAAAGCAGTAATTATCTTGGGCCAGGTATTTAGCTCAGTGGTTTGGTGGGCTGCCTTGCAAGCGCAAGGACCCATGTTCAATCCCTGGTACCAAAAAAAAAGAAAAAGGCAGTAATTATCTGATAGAAATCAATGTCAGTGTTGAAATTATGAAATTAAGAGGTATTCACATTATTTAAATATCTTTTTTAGGCAAGTTGGACAAATGCAAATAAAACGCAACGTGAAAAGCTACTTGAGCTGATAAGTCGTCTTGCAGAAGACGATAAGGATGGTGTGATGGCACATAAAGTGTTGAACCTTCTTTGGAATCTGGCCCGTAGTGATGATGTGCCTGTAGACATAATGGATGCAGCTCTCAGTGCCCACACCAAAATATTAAATTGCAGTTGTTCCCAGGTATGCAGTTAGTTGTTCACTCAGCTATTTTCGAGGTTTTGGTTTGATTTGGTTTGGTTTGGTTTTTACAACACCATAGGAACTTAGTTGCAGATTTTCACTTTAATCCATCTCTTGTATTTAAAATAATCTTGACCGATTGGCTTAATTTTGTTAGAGAAGCATGGCTTCCTCTATCTTGTGTTTTCAGCAAAGTTATATATATATTATCAACTAAGCATTTTACTTCACAGAGATTTACATAGGCAAAACTGTTTGTTAAAGTGATATAGTTAGACATGTGACACTGAGATTATAAGTAAGGCTGGTAAGTGATTTTGGAAGTATAAAAGTAGATTTTTATTAGGTCTTAAATTAACTTAAAAATAGTGGCTGCCACCAGCAGATAGGGAATTTATTTACCTCTGAGCAAATAGGAAGTCACCCAGGCTAGGCCCAGACAAAAATCTCCTTGCTTCAGCCTCTCACAGCTGTGGTATATTGTTTTAAAATGAGGAAGGATTTGACATTTGTGTGGGGTTTGTTTTCTTTTGTTGTTAAAGGGGATCCAAATGAAGACCTTGCTCTTGCCAGGCAGATACAGCACTGCTAAGCTATATCCTTAGCCCCAGCTTTTATGTTTTTAGCCTCTCCCTCTTTTACCTTGGACTCTGGTTTAATCCAATCTATCAAGGTCAACTTACACTTTTGGGTTGTAAAAAATCAAATGACAGTATTCTAGTTCTTTGTTATTACTCATTAAATTTTGTTGTTATTTGATTGAGTGATATTTTATTTAAAGTATAGGGAAACAAAACAATGAAGTTGTTATAAGTGTTATTATACACCTAGTAGTTAATTCACATAATTGCTTCACACTTTTTATTTTGCTGTATTACTGGATTCTAGATTTTACTACATTTATAGACTTGCCTTTTTTTAACTTCAGTCTTCATTGGTTTTGATTCTATCCAAAGTGCTTTGAGGAACCATGGCAAAATTAATGTTTTTATAATAAAATTTTACAGAATTTAAAATAATTCTTACAAAATTACCTTTTCCTCAAAATTTCTATGAATCTGCATCTACTTGGGAAATATTTGTATCTGAAATATAATCAAACCATGGAACATTGAGTTTACAATACTGCTTTGTATTTCAAAATAATATACTTAAAACATTTTGTTTGACTATAACATTATAAGTTTTGTCAGGCTGAGTTTAAATGCTTCTCTGCTTTGTAATTTTCAAAAGATTTTGAAGATATAAGACTGATCCATTTAAAGTATAAATGTTTGTATGTTTGTAAGGATCAAAATACACAAAAGATTCAGTGGATAGACCATTTTGTAGAAGAACTTCGATCAAATGACAAATGGGTAATTCCTGCCCTGAAACAAATAAGAGAAATTTGTAGTTTGTTTGGTGAAGCACCTCAAAATGTAAGGTAAGGTGCAGATAATTTTATTATTTTGAAAATACCCATATAAGCTAACTTTAAAGGGAGAAAAACTATTTGGACCAATACAACAATTCCAGCAGTTCCTTTTCTGATCCATTTTGGTTAAGTAATGTGTACAGTACATCTTAATATTAGTAATATTAATAACTGCTTAATAATATTATCTGCTTAATAATAAGCAGTTAAGTATCTAAATCTAAATGATTACCTTCTGCTTCTTAATTCAGCAGTTAAAATCAGTAGAATAGTTGGCTTTTATATCACATCTCAATTCAGTTTTCCTTCTTTTGCCCTGTTTTGTCTTGTTTTTGGTGGTGGTGATGGTGGTGGTTTTTTTGTTTTGTTGTGTTGTTTGTTTGGGTTTTGTTTTTTTGTTGCTTTTGTTTTTGTTTTGGTTACCGGGGATCGAACTCGGGTCTTTGTGCTTGTGAGGCAGGCAGCAGAACCACTAAGCTAAATCCCCAGCCTTTGCCCTGTTCTTCTGTCTTTTGCCCATTGTTCGACACAGGCCCATGTGGTAGGGTTTTATACAGTAGTTTATAGTCTTACAGTTTACAGTGTGCATGACTTAATCAGCTGTGTTCTTAACATTTTTATTAACTTTAAATTTTGTGTTACTTTTCTCTTGTTGCTGAGACAAAGTGCCCAGCACCCAAAGTTAAAGGGGAAATGTTTATTTAGCTCACAGTTTTATAAGGGTTTCAGTCCAAAATTGGCTGGCTTCATTGTAGGCTGGCATGTGACAGAGGGGCAACAGTTCATAACAGGCCAAAGATAGTAAAAGCAACAAGGGGAGCTTAACATATCTGTCTGCCCCTTTTTTGTTATCCAGACTACCATGATTAGAGCAGGGCCAAACCAATCAGTGTGTACTGGTTTAATAATTACTCGCCCTTAATCCCAGCATCAAACACTCTAGATTCTAGAATATAGATAAAGCCGCCTATGACCGCATGAGGCTTTGAGGGGAGGGACATCTAGACCCAAACCATAACAAATGTCATGCCAAGCAGTACTTGTTTCCAAAGTGGAATATTTTTTAAGTTGAATTTTTACTGTATTTTTCCTAGAAGAAGTCACATAAAATTAGAGAATTCCATGGAGATAACCACTGAAGAAAACACAGTAGTACTTATTTATGAAAGACATACTTTGATATTTTACCCACCACCTTTTTTGGTCACAGACATTGCCTCAGTTTGTAGTTAGATGCAGTAGTATAATACTCCCAAAGCAGGTGGCTTCACCAATAAATTAATAAATAAGTAAAGCATTTGGTGTGATTGAATATCTCAAAATATGGAAATAGCAACAGGTATCTTTTAATAGCCACAGGAAAATAGTTGCAGGATCAAATCCAGGGCTTTGGGCATACTAGGCAAACTCTTTACCACTAAATTGTATTGTAGTCCTGGTTAATTTATTTGATGAGGAATATTGATGGGTGGTAGTTTTTATGTAACGTAAGAGCACTGAGATACTGCTTTGAGACATATATTATTATTACTACTGCTACTATTATTATTATTAAAGGCTATTGACCACTTTTTTTTAGAAATGTAAAATTTTAAACATTTAATAGCTAGTGTTTTGTCTCTGTAAACTCAATGAAGTATAGTAGTTTTCATTAGCTTAATTATACTGCTAAATTCTCATTTCAGTCAAATTCAGCGAAGTCCCCATATATTTTATCGCCATGATTTAATCAGCCAACTTCAGCACAATCATGTCTTAGTTACTTTGGTAGCAGAAAACCTTGCAACTTACATGGATAGCATGAGATCATATGTTACAGGTGTGTATGATAAGATAACTTTGGGGCTCAAGATAGATTTTCCTTCCGTTTTTGTTTGGGTGTGCTTTAATGTTAATTTTTAAAGAACATTTTTAAATAATTTAAAAGGATACAGTGAGTTGCTTATGTAAATTACAGGATTGTCCTCTTGACATCTAATGGCGAGTGGCTTCAGTATTCCCTGTAGATTATCAAATTACTAAGTATTAAAGTTCCTTTACAGAGTGATATACATGTTGGGGTAAATTTTTTAGTTGAGTCCTACCTTCCTGAATGAAGCATCTTTATACTAAACAGTATTTTCCAAGAATAGATGTCTTGGGGTTTGTTTTTCTTTTTTTTTTTTTCTGTTTTTGTTTTTTATAGTACTTATAATTGAACCCAACACCTTTGCACTGAGCTAGATCTATAACCATTTCTTTTTTTACCTTGCAGTGAGCTTGGAAAATTGCTTATTTACCCATGCTAGCCTTAAACTTGGTTCTTCCTTACTTGGTTTCCCATCAATAAATGCTGAGTCTTTTTCTCTTCACTAATTGATATTAATAAAATACATTTAAAGCTTTTTTTTTTTAAGTGCTCTTCTCTTACTAAACATTCAGAGCCTAATGATTGAGATAATTGTATAAGTTAATGTGATTCAACAACATATTCTATCATCTTGATTTTTCTACAGGTAAATAAAGTAATTCTATATTTAAATGCTGAAACATTTTCTCTAAAATTTTAGTATAACAAAAAAAAATCATAGCTGTTCTTACCAATTGCTTCCGTGTAGAAGAATGGAGCGGAAGTTACTTAAAGTTATTTTCAACCACTCATTTAGCAAACTTTTTTTTTTTAATGTAAAAATTGTATTTTTAGAGGAAATTCAATATATGTTGATTCCACTATAATATGTCTTAATGAAATGATTGTTGACTTTCTGATTTCTCTTAACTAAAGGTAACAGTGATGTGGTACATTCCTGTGTATAATTAATTCATAGTTTTTGTTAATTTTGCAGATCATAAAGACTATGACCCCGAAACTCTCAGACTTGGGAGTAGATTTAGTCATATTCAAGAAGTCCAAGAACGACTTAACTTCCTTAGGTTTGTTTAAACAATTAGTGCTATTTTCTCTAAGGCACAGAAAAGAATTGTGTTGGTCAAGTATTAGGTGGACATTTAAACTTTGAAATGTTTGCCTACATGAGATGCATTTCCAGAAGTTCAATATAGCATTACCCTGTGTAGTCATTATTAAATATTTTTAAAATTTTGGTTCAACTTTAGCTATTTTTAAATTTTGGGATTAAATAACATTTATTCCTGAGGTGGGGAGGTTAAATGAACCCTGTGGAACTCGACCTGTGAGTTACATTCCCAGCCCCTTTTATTATTTTTGAGACAGTCTTACACAGGGCTTGAAATTATGATCTTTCTGCCCTAGCTTTCCAAACTGGTGAGATTACAGGAATAGGTACATAGATGTATCACATTTATTTAAAGTCCTTTCGTTTAACAGCATGGGAAAACACTAGCCTGACATGTTAAAAATATGTTTGTTTGTTTTGGCACTGGGGACAGAACTCAGGACCTTGCACTTGCAAGGCAGGCGGTAGAACCACTGAGCTAAATGCTTGGCCTTCAGAATTTGTTTTTAAATTGTATGTATTGTGCCCCTTAGGTATGCTTCTCAGAAATATGGATTAGAATTAATCAGTTTTCATAATAAAATTTAGAATCCAGGGCATTGAACTCAGGGCCTTGGGCTTGTCAGGCAGGGGTGATGACACTAAACTAAATCTCCAGTCCTACCAGCCATTTTGTTTGTTTGTTTGAAACAGAGTCTCACTAAGTCACTTAGTTGCTCATGCTGCACTCAAGCTTGTGATTTTTCTGCGTCAATATCACAGAGTGTTGGGCTTTTACAGGTTTGCACCACCACTCCTGGCTATATCACATAATACTGAAATATCTAATGATAATTATTAACAGAAATCATTCCTAAGTTATTTATTTCTTGAAGTTGTTTTGTGTCCACCCTGGTTTTCAAAGGTATCTGTCTAAGCAGTCAGGTTAATGAATTATCTTGTTTCAAAAGCAGCTCTTTCAGAATAGGGAAAAATACTGATTTCAGTCACATCACCTGGCAAAGTTGCTGGTACATTTGGTTATCTAATGAATACTTGTTATTTAAATGAATTACTCTAGTTTTCATAATTTCAAATGGGTGCTTAAGAGATAAAACTATATAGAAGGAATACTTTGGATGATGTAATTAATGTGAAAATATTTTATGAATATCAAATAACATGCTTTTGAGAATAAAATTATATTGACTTTAATTATTGGTTTGTTTTTCCAAGATTTTTATTGGAGGATGGTCAATTGTGGCTCCGTGCTTCCCAGGCAAAACAAATATGGAAGTGTTTAGCAGAGAATGCACTTTATCTTAGTGATCGTGAAGCCTGTTTTAAGTGGTACTTCAGGATAATGGGGGATGAACCAGACTTAGATCCTGATATTATTAAGGATTTTTTTGAAAGTAATGTCCTACAGCTTGATCCTACCCTGTTGACTGAAAATGGAATAAAGTGTTTTGAAAGATTCTTCAAAGCTGTTAATTGTAAAGAAGGGAAGCTAGTAGCAAAAAGAAGAGGCTATATGATGGATGACTTGGAATTGATAGGATTAGACTACCTTTGGAGGGTAAGTAAAAAGTAGGGATTTTTGTTTGCAAATGTACGAGAGGTTTGTGAATCATAATTTTCTTGTGTGTTTATACAATTTTGATCTTGTCCTACGCACCGAATGGTGTTGTACTTGCTTATCTTAAGCTTTTTGTTATTTTTCTTATATTTGTTAGTGTTACTCCTTTTATGCTCTATTCTGATCTTCTGTAGAGGTGCACTAACACTTACATGCCTTACTAACTAACCATGCTTCAATTTCTATGTAAGTTATCTTGTGCCTTCATGTATAAGAGGGGTTTATAATAGTGTTACTATGATAATGAATGGCAAAGATGATCACTATTACAAAATGTTTACTAAATAATTTTATTGACACTTTAAATTACAGTATATTTGCACAATTGTAGAGTAAATGTTATGGTATCTAAAACTAACTTACATTTAGATAGTTGATATCTTGCCTTTTAAAATATAATGTAGCTTATATTACTTTTAGGATGCATTTTATTTTTATATTTTGCAGTTAAACTTTACGTAGACTGAGATATTTATTTTGGTCATCCATTACAACTAATGGTTTTCAAAATTATTTTAACCTGGGCCAGGGATTTAACTCATTTGTTCTACCACCTGCCTTGCAATCACAAGGTGCTGAGTTCGATCCCTGGTAACAAAAATAAAAAAATTTTTTAAACCAGTACCCTTGGTAAATAGTAATTTTTAAAAATGGTAGAAAGCTAAGTTTTTAAAAAATCCTGTGTTCTTGTCTCAGTTTCCTATTTTCTTTCTTTTCTGTTGTAAAATTCTTATAAGGTCATCCCTTGAAATTTTTTGAAGTCCAGGGATTATAAAGATGATCAAATAAAAAATTCTTGATATTAGATAATTGAGGAAATCTTTGGAGGTAGTGAGACAATGTTTTTTGTAAATAGGATTTTTAGCTTGCTTTGTTTGTTTTTACTACTGGCAATTGATCACAGCCTTCCCACTGTGATACATCCTGACTTTTTTATAAATTTGTTATTCTAAGATAAACTCCCCAGATAAGATAAATTGTCCAGGTGGAACTTAAACTTGGAATCATCCTCTCTAACTGCTAGGATTATGAACATGAACCACCAGACCCAGATCTCAATTTTTGTATCTTGTTTGAATTACCCTTTAAAAACATCAGACTGACTTCTTATTTATTTCACTACATTTAGATAACTATCACACATTATTGGAGAATGTTTTTAAAATAATTGATATGATTTGAATTTAAGTGCAAAATTAGAATGTACTAAGGAATATTAATATTGTAATCTTTTTTGAAATTAGGTTGTTATTCAGAGTAATGACGACATTGCCTGCAGAGCTATAGATCTTCTTAAAGAAATATGCACAAATCTTGGCCCCAGATTGCAGAGCAATCAGGTAAGGCTTGAAGTGCTAATAGATTAAAATAGCATTATCTAAAGTGAATTTCTAAAAATCTAATCAAATATATTTAAGTATTTAATCCACATATGTCCTTTAAGTAGTTCCAACCAAAAGAATATTATTCTGTGATTGGAATTTTTTCTTTTTCTTTTTCCGGCAGGGGTGGGGGGAGAGTGTGGTACTGAGGCTGGAACTCGTGACCTTGCACTTGCAGGGCAGGCAAGTGCCACTGAGCTAAATTTTTCAGCCCTGGAATTTTTCTTAGGTAAATGGACACAAATCATGTAATTGTTCATTCTTACATGTTGCCAGGTTCAAAACTCTGATTTCCTTATTTGGTAACCCCTTAGTCCAGGGATTGATTCATTTTATTTCATATTAGCTAATATTTTACTAGTACTAGTTAAATACGATTTAGTTAAGAGTTGTGTTTAAAATTTTTTGCTGTCATAAAAAGCCCAATTAATGTAAACATGCTATAACATGTTTACATATAATATCAACAAGTTTGAGAAAACAGGGAAAACTGCCCAGGGAAGAGAGAAGGGCTGGAAAGGGGGTTAATTAACAAGCTCTAAGGAGTGTACATATAATAAACACTCCCAAGATGATTGCAAACCGCACAAATGGCAAACAAGTACTAAAAAAAAATTTTCTTAACATCTTTTTATTGAATTGATGTCATGTGATTTTCAAAATTTGAATAAGGAAATTAACATAATCTGAGCTGTATTTATTTGGCCTATATTTGCAGGTGATAATTCATGAAAACTTCATTCAGTCTTGCTTTGATCGTTTGAAAGCTTCATATAATACCCTGTGTGTTTTGGATGGGGACAAAGACAGTAATAGCTGTACAAGACAAGAAACTATACACATGGTTCGAGTATTAACTGTTTTACGAGAATACATAAATGAATGTGACAGTGATTATCAGAAGGAAAGAATGATTCTACCTATGTCAAGGTTTGCAAAAAATTTATTCAATGTTAATTTCCAGTTACTTAATATTTTCCTAGACTTTTAGGAAAGCTGTGACAAATTTTCATTTCTTGATTTGTGTCATTTAAAACATTTAAATCTTACATGAATTAAAGTTTGTTCTGTATTGCAGTATATTTATTTCTTGTCTACTATGGAAAGGCATCTGCCGTTAAGTATAATTTTTTCTTTTTCTTGACTGTTAAGTGTGTCATTGATTTTTTTGCAAGTAACATTTTTTAAATTTTTATATTATAATAATTACCCTGTCTAAAATGAAACGTTGGGCCAAGGCTTTAACTCAGTGGTACTGCCACCTGCCTCCCAACTGCAGGGTCCCAAGTTTGATCCTGGTAACAAAAAAAAAAAAAAGGGAAAGAAAGAAAAGGAAGAAAGAAATCCTATGAGCTGCTTACTAAACACTTTTAATATTACAAGGATCTAAATAGTCTATGTTAAACTGACTTTACATTTAAGAACTTATCAGTATGAAATAATTCAGTAAATTCTCCTTTTCATCTATACAACCTCTGTATTGTGAGATAACGTACTTACAAATTAAGTCACTGAATAAGTAAGTTCTTTAATATTAACGAGACTTTCTAGATCAAGCATATTTAATTGAAAAATATAACTTTTTTTAATATTACTGATTTTCTGTCATTACTTGTGAGAAGAGAATATTTATTCAGGTATGTCTACAATTTGATAAAATTTTGATATTTTAAGAGCTCACTAAAACTTGACTGTTAGCATATTTTTTTATCCTGATGCTTAATTTAAAAAATAATCTCCAGCTTTATTCTCTTGGCATATAACTCAATATGTGGTGCTTTTTTGTGTGTGTGTTTTTCTCCCAGAGCATTTCGTGGCAAACATCTATCTTTTATAGTTCGATTTCCCAACCAGCGCAGACATGACTTGGACATCCCGTCTCACACAAATGATACAGTTGGTTCAATACGACGATGTATTCTCAATCAAATTAAAGCCAATGTAGCCCGTACAAAAGTTGAACTGTTTGTGGATGGTGAGCTGTTAGATTCTCTAGATGACAGAAAGCTAATTGGACAATTAAATTTAAAGGATAAATCAGTAAGTAGATCTAATTTTCAAATATTCCCCCAAAACTATTGAGATAAGTTTGTATTATTTGATAAATAATAAATGAGCATTTTACTGTTAGGTGTCTGTGTCTGATAGTATTTAGATTATATCAAATAAGGTAGATGTCATATAATGTAATAGTGGATGAAATAAATTGGGTTTTGTTCACTGTAGCTTTAGGGTTCCTCGTGTATGGATTTAACCAAACATAGGTAAAACTATGAAAAACTTTCATCTGTACTGTGCAGAACATGTGCAGACTTTTTTGGAGCCATTATTCTTTAAAAAAACATACTGCATTTACCTAGTACTATATTAGGAATAATAATTGTATAGTATTTAAAATACAGGAAGATTTAAATTATAGGAAGGTGGTGTATGTGGTATGAAGCAGTGTACAAAAGAGACCTGAGCTTCCTGGTGTCCACAAGGATCTTGGAACCAATCTGGAGAATAATAAGGAAGGATTGTACTACAAGGTTATGTTGGATAGTATTTTTCAAAAGATGAGATTAACGCTTTGACACTTCTAGTTTCTTTTATTTGTAAAAGTATTTTATTTTTAACACAAAGTATATTTCCATTTTCAGTTAATTACAGCTAAGCTTACACAAATCAATTCCAACGTGTCTTCACGTCCTGATAGCCCTTCAGCTGGACCCCCTAGAAACCACCAAAATCTCTATAGTGATGATCCTAATCCTGAAGTAGAAAGTTGTTTGCCTGGGGTGGTGAGTAACTATTGTCTGCAAAAGATCATACTATCTTTGAAAATAGGAAGAAATGCATAAAATATCTTTGATTCTGTTAAGTTTTCACTAAAGGGTTGAAAGGTCAAATAACTTAGCATTTAACTGCTTAAAAGGATTCTTTTTTTTTAAACGATTCCTTAATTTTTGAGTTTAAAATAATAGAAATCTTATAGTTTATTTATACTAATAAGTATAGAGTATCTTTATACTTATTAGTATAAATAAGTATAGAGTATCTTTATACTAATAAGTATAGAGTATCTTTATAAACTACTGCTGTATTAGTCTATCTGTAGAAATGTTTTAAAATATGATCTGTATTTCTCAATTTGTTACATATCATTTGCAAAGAAACAACTTTCCTTTCTTAACCTTTCTTTAAATCCTCTTAAAAATTGTTCCATCTGTAATTACACAAATCTCTTGGTTAGTGTATCTCGTAAGAGAGCAAGATGGCTTTTATATAAATTTCTGAGTACCATGTGAAATTAGTTTAGAAAACAATACACCTCAGGGCTGAGGATTTAGCTCAGTGGTTCCGTGCCTGGTACGGAGTTCAATCCCTGGTATCAAAAAATAATAAATAAATTAAGGGCCAGTGGTGTAGCTCCGTGGTTCCACCACCTGCCTTGCAAGTGTGAGGACCCAAGTTTGATCCCCAGTACCAGGGGAAAAAAATATAACACCTGAAATTTTTAAAGTAGTTTAATAAAATTTAATAAATTATGTAGTTATTTTGCATCACTGAGGAATCAGTGTATTTGTAAAATGAAGGCACATCATTTCAAATTAAATAATTATGCAAATGTGATTTTTTCAGCAGAAAACTTACTTTGGGTATAAGGAATAGATGAGCTTTTATACCTAAAAACCTTTTCTGAGTACAATTCACAGATTTTATGTATTTTATATTCTAGATAATGTCACTGCATTCCAAATATATCTCTTTCCTTTGGGAAGTTGCCGACTTAGGTAGTAGCCTGAATATGCCATCTCTTAGAGATGCAGCAAGAGTACTTATGAAACTTATGCCACCAGGTAAGGAAATAATAGTCCATCCATTCATAGCCCTCCTGCAGGGTAATAATGCTGACATTTACATAATGGACAAAACAGGAGCATTTTTAAAAATCTGTTTCCAAATCAGATATACTTTGTGAGATAGACCTCAGTATTGATAATGTATCTCCTGCACCATGACTGCTAAAACATCTTGCCATATGTAAGAAAAAATATTTAGGTGCTTGTAGCTTTATAAAATACTTTTAGCAACCTAATATATGATTTAGACAATGTCTTTCTTTAATCATCTTCGTCGTTACTGGTTCAAATAAAAGCCACTCTTGAACTTTAATTTTACTCTTATTTTATCTCCAAGCAGTGTATTATTTTTGTGCTAAGCTTAAATATTACTTATTTAAGTTTCTTTGCTTTGGGGGGTTTTGTTTGTTTGGTTGGTTGGTTGGTCGGTTTTTTGAGACAGGGTCTCACTATGTAGTTGAGACTGCCCTGGAACTCACTATGTAGCCCAGATTGGTCTCGAACACAGCAATCCTCCTGCCTCAGCCTCCTGAGTACTGGGATTACAGGCATGCGCCACCATGCCCGGCTAAGTTTCTTTTGTTTAGATAAAATGCTTCTTTTTAAGAATGCTAGGAAGAATTTACATAGCAACTGGCTGTTTAATTTTTCTGTATATACAAATTGATGATGTGAAATATTTAAGGAATTATACTTGAGTTTTAAAATTCCTCAATTTTTAGAAACAGAAGAATCTTTGTACTCTTTTTTGCTTACTTGTTTTCCTTTTCTGTTCATCTGTTCATCATTACTGGCTTAATGTTCTAGAAAGATGACCTGGCTTAAAGTAATGATTCATCTTGCCTATTACTGAGACTCAAAAAGTTTGAGTTACTAACATGTTTGTTTCCAGAATTTCAGCTTTTTTCAAATCACCTCATCTGTTTACTGAAGTTATCTTAGCCTATCTTGTGTTCTTCAGTTCATTTAGTTTTTATTTTTAATCTTTTTTTAGCTTCTTTGATCATTTTATTAATTGATTAGTTCAGCTGCTTGTCTTTGATCTTTTCACTTTTTTTTAAATTCTGGAATTTCATCTGTAGAATCAACTTTTGGAGGCTTCTTATTTCCTTGTTTTCTGATGACTTGTATTTTTGTGTTGAAGTTTGTAAATCAGTTAGGCTGGGCATCTTTGCTGCTATTATAGAGATGTGCTTAGTAAGTAGCTTTCACGTGTGATGTGCCTGTGGCCTTTGGTATGAGTAAGCATGAAAGTACCACTCCAGTTGTTCCACATTCTACGTTTAATTTCTGCTGCTCCATTAGAAGAGAAAAACTACATAATATCAATAACTGAACCAAGTGTAGCATCAGGTGAGGATCCTAGAAGCTAGGTGAGGGTCTTGGGGTTTTTCATGAAAAGATCTTCAGTTTTTGCCCTTACTTCAAAGAATGAAAAAGTAGGGTGCCAGGTAGCATGCTACAAGGCAGGGAGGATGTAAAGAAGTTTCTCAACAGGGGTCCTCTGCTGCTAATACTTAATATGTATCAGCTGGTCCCTGACTGTTTTGCTGATGTGTATGATCTAGACCAGTCAAGGTCCTATTCTTTGTTTCTGAAGTGAGATAAGAGTTATGGGGTGTAGAGGCATATAGTCAATATATACAAAGGTTTTTAAAAGGACATTTTCCTTAAGTACATAGCATGTGGTTATTTGTGTAACCGTCAGCCACCTAAGTTGTGACCTGTGTCCCTACCTACATTCCCTTTTAATTGTCCCTACATTGTTTCTCTGACTAATCCTACTGCCATAGGATGGGGAATAGGACTATGATCTTGTTATGGAAGGAAGTGGTAAATGTCACATACAGAGAAGCAGAATGGAAGTAAAATAAGACAAAAAGTTAATTTTGTAGACAAAGGTCAATCACATCTAAAAGCAGTGCCCAAGATCAACCATGCACCAGGTTACAGCGCCTTCTTTTATAGGGTTTTACAGCCTTGATCTCATTCAGGTGGTTACATTTCATTCTCTCAGTTCACAGTACCAATATGGTCACAACACAGTTAACTTTCAACCCAGATGTAGCAGTTCTTTCTAGTTAGGGAAGTTTACCTTTACGATTCACCTGGCTATTTGTCCTAGTCCATAGGAAGAGGGGCGGCTTTCAGGGTCAGAAAAGCAACTGTTAACAATGGTTCTTTTCATCTTGACACTTCAACAATCATGTGGTTTACAGAATATGGGGTCTTGATGTGCCCTGTTACCTCAAGATAAGACCAAATGCCTCATTCAGTGGTTAATGCCTCCAGTGTCTGTAAATTCTGAGCTTAACAAAGCAGATTGCTGTTAGAGACAGCAGAAGCCATTCTACATTGTGACATTTTTTTGTAGGTTTTGCTATTTGTAAAAGTTTTCTTTATCAGTCTCTCAGGCTATTTCCTTCTGGTTAGAGATAATGTGGGATTTCAGGCAGGTGATACGATGTTGTTGAAGGTGGCTATAGTGGGAGGAAGCTGGTAGCTCCATAGCAGGATTCATCTGTGGGACCGACTGCATTTTGATCGCTTTGATATAGTCTGAAAGGAAGTGAATAAGGCAGTTAAAGCACTAGAAAAACAAAGGTATCAATCAGTAGAGGAAGGAGCCAGGCTGAGATGAGTGGCAACCATGACTTAATCTAGATTAGTAACCTGTTTTGGGAAAGTGACCTACTTGAAGGGAAACTTAAAAAAGGGGGCAGTACCCTACACAGACGCAAGTATAGGCTTATCACCTTGGTTTTCTGCTGTAACAGAGCCCATGTCTCCTCTGTTTCTTAAAGGGGACCAGCTCCCAGACTTGGGCCAAAAGTTGTGGTTAGAAACTTCTGGCAGGGTTAGTAATTGGAACCTTCTTTTTGTCTAGTCTATATTATAATTTCTTTTTTTTTTTTTTTCTTTTTATTGAGTTTATTGGTACAATCTAGGTATACAATACAGTTATATTTGTTACTGGGATCCTGTTCCTTCATATGACAGGTCTCGGTTCTCATTTTTTCCCCTGTCCCTGCCCTCCCTTCCAGCCCTCCCCATTTACAAACACTTTATTTCCATTTTTTCATTTTCTCATATTTTTTTTTCCCTTATTCCCTTTCCCCTACCCTTCCCACTTTCCATAGCCTATATTATAAGTTCTAAGTCTTTGGTTATATATTCCTGCTGGGTATTTTAAGAGCAAGCTAAAATGAGGTAACTAGTAATATATATTTTCTTGCTGGGTGTTCAAGAACAAGATAAAGCAAGATCCACATTAATCGAAGTCACATTTTGCCAAATACCAGCATTAGTTAAGGCTCTCTAGGGATTACCCCTGGGATCATATATGGAGCCTCTTAACTTTTCTATCACTGTCAGCCACCAGGATGACAGACAGTCTTGCTTAACCAAAACTTTCTTGGACGTAGGTAGGGGTGGGAGGAATCTTTTCTGGTGATCCCTTTTTTTTTTTTTGGTTCCTGGGATCAAACTCAGGACCTTGCACTTGCTATGCAGGCAGCAGCACCACTGAGCTAAATCCTTGGCCGCGAAGTTGTAGGATCTTAAAGGAAAAGTCCTTTCTTATTCTGAGTCCTTGTTGACATTGGAAGACCAGGGCCAAAATATTCACTGTTCTGTGTTCTTACTGTAGTTATCCTTTTAGCTCTGATCTCAAAATCTATTTTTGAACACCCTGAAAGATTATTTATACCAACATCGTAATTAGATTTAATTTCATTAATCTTATCTAAATGTTAAACACTTTGAACCAGAGAACATGAGTAGGGAATTGTTACTTTTATCAGTCATGGTTGTCTTAGAAACTGAGTCTCTGTAGGGTGTTGAGAATATAAAGTGATAAAGAGAAAATGAGAGTAGGAGCAGTGTCACATTTTGGTTTAACAATTAAGACCTTATTTTTTAAAAACGTTTAAATGTTTAGTATAGAAAAATCTTCAAGTTGGTCTTACCCATCTTTATCTAATTTGCCACAGATTTGGCTGAGTGGCACCATGCCTGCCTCTTAATTATAAGATATTAAATGATGCAAAGTTTTAGCCAATTTTATCATCCTTCAATAGAATGTCATTAGAGAAAAATATGTGTCCATAAATGTATATCATTGGGCCATTGATGTCCAACCTCTATTAAGAGTGTCTGCCTAGACTACAGTGTTTGAACTTTTTTATTTTTTAACAAGAAACCCTCATTGTTTTATCCACAGAGAACTTAAACTTTTAGTAATACCCATTGCAAATATATTTAGATTTTATCTCACAAGTCAATACACTATTCCTGACTGACAGATGCTCTTTGCTTATCAGAAACAGTGTACCAACAATTTATTATATGTACACAATATTAGGTGTTTTTATTAATCTGTTATGTCCATTTAAATTACCCCGCTATTAAGCTGTATGAATCACATTAAGCCATATACCTAGATGTTTCAATAAAGTAAGACCCTGGAAGCCAAAACAGAAACAACACTTACTACACAGTTACATACATGCATGCATATATACACAAACTTCCCCCACGCATTAAAACAAAATAGAAAGTATAAGAAATGCCAGATTTTTGGTAAAGTATTATTTATCTGAAATGCAACCATACTCTCCCTTATGACAGTACATTTGGTTTTTTACTCATTTGCAGAAGTTTGAATGTTAAAATTGAAGTTTGAAAATTTGTGCCATTGTTATTCCAGCTGATGAGAAAGCTAAAGTTTTTGTATGGTATCTTTCTTGCTCTTTCCAAGAATTTTCTCTTTTAACCCTTGATTTCTCAGATCTCATGATGAGGTGGTTTGGTTTCTTTGTTTTATTATGTACTGAGTGCATAATGCATCTTGTCAGTTTAAAAATTAATTTCCCTATTTGGAAGAGCTGTGTATATTAGTTTGCTTACATTCTTCTCATTTCTTTATGCTTCTGAATATTTTTTTCATATGGTGTTGGATTTACTAAATCGAAGTTTTCTTACTCATTCTGTTCTAGTTCTTTGGCTGATCCTTGTTTGATTTTTCTAGCTTCTTTAGCATAACCTTTTCAACACCTATTCTTGTTCTTTCTTTGTAGTGTTCTGATTTTACTTTATGGATGATTTTTGCAGTTTCTAA